CTAATATGACTCAAGATTGATAAAGAATTAGCAGGCAAGTTAAGATTTATCATTTTTCGAAACGAATCCGTAAATAATACAACTTGTGAACATGAATAATAATATTAAATTTTTTATTGATGGGTTATACGGTTAATACGGATACAATACAAAAATAATTAAATCAAATCTACATGATACAATTAGTTAAAAGAATTAAGTTAGAGTTAATTACTCCTAAATATGAACTTGTAAATGTTATAATATAATATAAACATGTCCGACACAATAAAATTGTCACCTCCAACTAAATCTAGGGCTGACAATTCTTTGCAGGAGTTGTTGTCAACTCCACGCAATGAAGTCATGGGGAATATTTCATCTAAACGTATGTGAGTTATAATTAATTTGATTAGCTAGATGTAATTTATAAATAAATATATACAAATGTAAGTATAAACAATTCCTATTAAATTTAGATATGAATTTGACACCACCAATTTTACTATAATCATGTATAGGCTAATTAAAACATGGTAAAAATTCGATATTATCATCAATCTACCTGTGCCATGTTGGAATCTATAATTAATATATATATATGTGTGTGTGTGTGTACTATAAAATAGGGTAAACTTTAATAAATTTATCTCATGGTCTTAAATAAATTTATTTAACGATCACCAACATCTATTTCAAAATCATTCACATTATACCATGCTTTGAGACACATGTTACCTCTATTATAATATAAAATAGGATAAATTTTAATAAGTTTACTCAACGATCTCATCTAACAGTTACCAATATCTCTCTTAAATTTTTATTGTGTCTTTTAGGCATGAATTACCCCTAATAACATTATATTTTTGCTCGTTAAAAAATAATTTCGGTATCTTTTGAAAATCTGAAAAAACTCAAGTTTTAAATATGATTTTTAAGAAAAAATTAAAATTTTATTTTTAAATTAATTTCAATAAATGTCATAGTAGAACATGAATTTTGATTGTAAAATTTAATATATTTGATATTCTATCTTTAATTAGAGTATTTTTTGCCTAAATATAACATTTTAAATTTAAATAATTTAAGTATTACATATCTACAAATTTCAGAGAATTTGAATGTAATTTACTAATCGATATACTAACAGAAATTGATGGTGGAGGTCTAAATATTATTCGTATGCGAACTTTAAGGGTCATTGTGCAATATTTCTAATATTAAGAGCTTAAATAATTAAATGTCAAACTATAAGAGGTTTAGATATAATTTTTCCTTTTATTTTTTATCATTGTTTTCTTTCTGATCGCGCCCAACAGAAAAGAAAACTCAACCCTGTGCCATGTCACCGGTGACGTCATCAATTCACACCTGTCCAATGCTTGACTCACCGATGACATCAACGATCAACCCCCTCCCACTGCAAAACCAAAAACCCTGAACTCTATATAAAGGCCACTCACCAGATCAAAAATTACCTCCTCTCTCTCTCTTAGAGGAAACCAATTAGTGTTTGATAATGGCAAAATCACCAGAGACAGAGCACCCGGTGAAGGCATTTGGGTGGGCAGCCAGAGATACATCCGGCGTCCTCTCTCCCTTCAACTTCTCCAGAAGGTACAATGTTCGTTTCTTTCTTTTATTCGTTTGATTCAGTAACACATTGTTCATCTTTATATACACATGGATCATATATCTAAAAAAATATTTGTGTATATATTTTGATGGATATAATTTTTGAGGTTGGGAATGGTTGATGTTGCAGGGAAACAGGGGAAGAAGACGTGAGATTTAAAGTGTTGTATTGTGGAATATGCCATTCGGACCTTCATAATATCAGGAATGACTGGGGCATGGCCGTGTATCCTATGGTCCCTGGGTAATCACCCATTCAATCCCTCTCTCTCTCTCTATTTACATTGCATTGATGAGTAAGTTAACCTCTTTAATAGATCACTTCGATTTACATGCCGATCATGTATTGATGCAGCCATGAGATTGTGGGCGTAGTAACCAAGGTGGGTGGCAATGTGAAAAAGGTAAAAGTTGGAGACAAAGTTGGTGTGGGGTGCATGGTTGGATCGTGTCACTCATGCGACAATTGTGCTAATGATCTTGAGAATTATTGTCCCAAAATGCTACTTACTTACAAGTCCATCTACTATGATGGAACCATGACATATGGAGGTTATTCTGATGTTATGGTTTGTGACCAACACTTTATTGTTCGTTGGCCTGAAAACCTGCCTCTCGATGCTGGTGTTCCTCTTCTATGTGCTGGGATCACTACTTACAGCCCACTGAAATATTTTGGATTCGATAAGCCTGGTATACATTTGGGTGTAGTTGGTCTAGGTGGGCTAGGCCATGTAGCTGTGAAGTTTGCTAAAGCTTTTGGAGTTAAGGTGACGGTGATTAGTACATCCCCTAACAAGAAGAAGGAAGCTATTGAGCATCTGGGTGCTGATTCATTTTTGGTCAGTCGGGACCAAGATCAGATGCAGGTATCTACATTTTGTTGATATGCTAATAGTATTCGACTTTGTGGTGATTCTTGATCTTGATTGTACTTATTCTAATATTAATATATTTCATTTGTGTAGGCTGCCATGGGCACATTGGATGGTATCATTGACACAGTCTCTGCTGATCATCCTCTCCTTCCATTGATTGGTCTGTTGAAGTCGCATGGGAAACTTGTCTTGGTTGGAGCACCAAACAAGCCACTTGAGCTACCGGTCTTTCCTTTGCTTATGGGTAAATAACCTCATCTCCCAATTAATTATGTTTAAAGATGTAGTAAACATGGCAAGGTTTAACATATCTTTATAATTGCATCCATAGGCATTACCATTCATGTTCTTTGTTTGTCCATGTAGTCTTCTTTTGTTAAACATTTGAAGCTAACTGGGAGTATGAATCTGGCAGGGAGGAAGATAGTGGCTGGGAGTATCATTGGAGGGATGAAGGAGACCCAAGAAATGGTTGATTTTGCAGCAAAACACAACATAAGAGCAGACGTTGAGGTTATACCAATGGACTATGTCAACACTGCCATGGATCGTCTTGAGAAAGCTGATGTTAGGTACCGATTCGTGATTGACGTTGAAAACACCTTGAAAGCAGTCATGTAAAAAAGCATATCTGATGAAATCCACATCTATAAAGTAGCACCCTAGTGTGTGGTGTGTGTTGTTTTTGTAAAATCTGGTTGCTCTGGCACCATTAGAAACAATAAATCCTTCTTATTACTACTTGTTAATTTTGTCGCTCAATTGCCATAGCCATGGCTATGGCAGATCCACCAGGCTTTTGTCCTCTTGTCACCAGTCCATGCCCTTGTCTACCTTAAGAGCTCTCCAATGTAGACAAACCCATCTGATCCTGCACTATCGGAAAAAGTTCGAAGAACACTTTGTTGGGTTGAGTTGGAATCGATTGTCATCCCCAAAATACTGATGGTCATATCACCTTATGAAGGTGTGATCCCCGCATGTCATCCTGAGTGAACTCCATATTTGTTGGAGTTGTTTTTTTTTTTTTTTGTTTTAATGATCATTTAAATTAATTTATGTAAACATCAACTAATCCCGTACTATACTTTTGAGTTGTTGGCACTTAAAAAGAGGAAAAGAAGCCAAACAAGAAGAAAAAGATTCACTCTATACAACATGTATGAAAAGTAATTCCATAGGAAGAAACAAATGAAATAGAAAATGAATCATAACAATCACTTGAGGTCAAGTTACGAGGAATTTATCATTTATAAATACCTTAGTCTCAACGTGAATGATCTGTCTTTGACCCGACTAAAAAAGAGATTAGTCGAGACATACATAAATTGACTCGAACACCCTTAACTATTGAACAAAAAAAAAATTAGAAAAACAAGAAAATAGTGTTTCATACCTCATCCATTAGACAATCAACAATGGCAAGATAGCATTGATATCATACTAAAACTTATAATTTAATTAAATCATGTTATGATTCTTCAATCAATTAGGATAAATTTCAAGAATTTGACATTAATCCTAATTTTTTTTTTAAAATTATTGAGTCGTAATTTTGACATCACTCTTGCAAGAAATAGCATCCCTTGATCATACCAATATTGATTTCAAATTCTTCAAACCATGTAACATCTAGCATTATAGGCATACTTGCCTGTGCAATATTGCATACAAAGTTATTTTCTAAACGATAGTAACTTGAAACTAGAGAAGGGGAGGGGGGGGGGGGGGGTTCAGAATCCTCAATAATATAAAAGTACAGTTTATTGTAGAGGGGAAAAATTGTCTAAATAGTAGTTTGTACAGTCTAATCTTCATAAAATAATTGAGATTTGACAAGGTAAATCACCAGAATAAGATTTCGAATTTTTATTAATCAAGGGAATACTCGAATTTAAACTGGGGAAAAAAGAATACAAATCCTATGTTTTAACATTTGAAAAAATTTCAGTCACATTACTTCTAGTTTGTCATATTTTTAAAAATAATTATTCCATTTTTTAAGACTTCGCTGACACCCTATGTTAGATTAATGATATTTCTATAATGTAATTATATTAAATTTTTCATGATAAATTTTAAAGATAGATATATTTTCAATGAGACACTCTTTGTTTTTTAATTTTTTTTACATATTAAAATTTGATTTGAGCTAATTAATTATTTTTTGATTAAAATTCAAATCGATTAAAAATTATATTTTTTTTTACGTATTAAAATTTAAATCGATTAAAATTCATTTCCAAGTTGATTAAAATTTTAATTGGATTGAATCAAATTTCAATCAACTTGTATTGAATTTTAATAAGACCGATAATCAAATTAAATTTTGTGAGCTTAAATCGAATATGTCGGACTCATTTTTTTAAATAAATTAAAAAAATTATTTAAATTTAATTCGTTTAAAAAATAAGTCTAAGTCAAACTCAAATTTTACTGCCTCAAATTAAACCTTTTAGATCACAAACCTAAAAAATTATTCTTCGACCGCTTTAGAATACGAGTTGAGCTAGAATCCATATGAGTCCGAGTCCGAGTACGAGTCGCTACCCACAAGCACGGTAAAGCTCCCTCTTCAATCCTCAGTCTCCCACTCCCCTGCCACTTCCACCTCTACCTTATCCACTTTGAAGCATCGAAGAGTAAAGAGAGAAATTCAGCGAAAAAAAGGAGGGGCGCGAGAGAAGAACCCTCGAATGGCGATACCCTATGCTTCATCTTCGATCATGTACGTGTCTCAATCTCCGAAACCCTTTTCTACCTCTGTGAAGAAGTCTCCATTTCTTGGACTCCCGGTGGCAGCCTCATCAAACCCGTCCATTCTACCCAGACCCGTTATCACTGCCAATCGGACGTTTCAGATTCGTTGCCAAGACAAAGTTGTTGTCTCTCTTGAACAGCGCTGGATGTTCGAAGAATCTGAGTTCGAAGGACCTGTAAATTCTTCCCTCTCTCGCTCTCTTTATATGTTTGCGCGAATCTATATGAGTGTTAATTATGATATGTGCTTGTTTGGTTGCTGAGAAAGTTTAGGGAATTCAGAACATTGGAGTTTTCTGTTCTTTGTTTTTTTTTCTTTTCCTGCCACGCCCTATAAGGGAATGTAGTATAAAATTTCGAATATTGAAGTTTTCATTGTGCAGGAAGTAAAATAATAGTCTTTGTATTGAAAACAGCAAAAAGGGGCATAAAGGCTTGTAGAATTCTGGGATGTACTCAATTCAAATAAATTTCTGAAATCTGCAAAACAATTGTCATTCAATGAAATTATGGGAATGGGTTATTGAACATCACCTAAGAGTTGACACTACAGTGTCAAAAAATAAGTTTGAGATTATGCCGAGTAGATCAACTATGGAGGCTATATATTTATTAAGGACACTCATAGAAAAATATAGAGGGAAGAAGAAACATCTCTATATTATATTTATAGAAAAGGCGTATGATAAAGTATTTAGAAATATAATATGGGGGGTGTTTGAGGGAAAAAAAAAAGTGACGAATACGTATATTGAAGGGATAAAGGACATGTATGACAGGGCTGTGACTACAATTAGGTCTTCCGTTAAAGAAAGTAAAGAATTTTCAATCACAGTGAGATTACACCAGGGATTGGCCTTAAGTTCACACACCATACCTATTCGGCCTAATTATGGATGACCTCACCAGGCATATTCAAGATGATGTTTCATGGTGTACGCTATTTGTAGATGATATTGTATTAGTAAATGAAACTCGATGGAGGATTAATAATAAGTTAAAAATTTGGAGAGTGACACTCGAGTCGAAAGGGATTTAAAATAAATAGGAGTAAGACTGAATGTATGCAATGCAATTTTAGTAACAAAAGAAATAGACATAGTGAAAAAGTTAAGATTGAAAATTAAGAAATACTAACGAGTAAATAATTTAGATATCTACGATCGATCATTAAAAATGATGGAGAGATTGGAGATAATGTAACTCATAAAATTAATGTCAGTTGGCTTAAGTGGAGGAAAACATCTGGCATATTATGTATTAGAAGGATATCAATAAAATTGAAAGGTAAGTTTTACCGAACTGTTGTCCAATGTTGTATGGGACAGAATGTTAGGCAATTAAAAAACAAAGTAGTGACAAAATGAGTATAGCAAAAATGAGAATGTTAAGACGGATGTGTGAAAAAATTAAAAAAGATAGAATAAGAAATGATCGTATTAGAGAAATGATAGTAGTAGCTCCAATTGAAGATAAGTTAAGAGAAAATAAATTAAGATGGTTTGACCATATTCAGCGGAGGCCGATAGAGGCACCGATTCGAAAAAGTGAGAGAATTTCTCTTAATAGTACTAGAAGTAAAGGTAGACCTAAATTAATATTGAACGAAATAATAAGAAAAAATATAAAAATATTTAAATTAAATGAGCGTATAGTGTATGATCGAAATGAATGGCGAAGACAGATTCATATAGCCGACCCCAAATGATTAAGACATAAGACTTGACTTGGTTTGGTTTAACTTTGCAAAACAATTCTTTGGTAGATCTTGATCTTGAACTTAAATTGGGTGTCTTCTCCAACTGGTTAGACCCGTTGGAGAGGTTAAGGCATTGTAGAATGCTTAAAGCTAAGCTGTGATTATTATCCCAATACCAATTTTGACCGTATGGACCAATGGTCAGTAAGTGTTTAAAGCATATATCTTCGAATAATGCTTCCCCACCACCTCGTGTTGGTCCTGCTGGGTTGCGTCTAGAGCTTCAATTTATCATTTACATGCCATTCTGAATGAAACTTTCACTTGACAAGGTTTTCTTGCTTGCGAGAAGTCGGGATTTTTTTTGATTGGCTGGTGTCAAAGAATTATTCGAGCTGTCTTGAACTGTTGCATTTTCCCTTTATTAATCATCTAAGTGGAAAAATATAGTGGATGGGATCTAGAACTCCCCCCTCCCCCACAACACACACCCACCCACCAACCAAATACCACCAAACACAAACACGAACGTGAGCTTCTATGGTTGACACTTGATACTATGGTTTCTGGAATGGCTATTGCAGCAGGGATAATTTCTCATACATCAGATCATTGAATATGTCGTAGAGTGCAATTGAGATTGGTGTGGGGTGATTCATTTTACTTTTATGCATGCGTTGATATGCCTTAGAATCATTGAATTATGCAAGGCAAAGACAATGAGTTGGGGCCAGATGTTAGATTGAACTTTTATGCTTGTGTCGATGTGCCTTTGAATCTTCAATTTTGTCCTGCTCTCTTTAAAGGAATTCTGGATGAATTTGGTACTTAAGTTTTTTGTGTGTGTGCATATACAAAAACACACACAAGAAGTAACCCACTCTGGTGGATGGATACTTAATCCTTTCTGTTGTGTTAACGGATGACATGCTCATATTTCATATACACAGACTTCCAGTTCCCATATCTTAAGAAGTGACACTTTGAAGACTCCAATCTTTAACCACATTGTTGTGTTTAGGTTTCTATTGCCTAAACTTTACATTTAGCATATCTCTAGTGAGAAAGTATAACTATAGAAATTGCCCTCCTTTTGATGCTTGCAGTGGACAGCTTTGCTTTACTTGCATCCCTTCCCAAAGGGAAAAGATTTTGATTTCTTGGACAATTTCTTTCAGAAAATATAGGCTTGAAGTTTGTGAATTCGTCGAGAGTGCCTTGTGAGAATATTTAGTTTAATTTCTGCAACTGGTCGCTTGTTACTAAACATTTCACTACATCTCTGCTGTTTGTTCTTTGATTTTATAATGTGTATCTCTGAGTACTTATTTTTGCTTTTCTTCTAGGATATTTGGAACAATACATGGTACCCTAAAGCTGCAGATCATGTCAACACTGACAAAACATGGTATGTTGTTGATGCTACTGATAAAATTCTTGGAAGACTAGCCTCAACAATAGCAATTCACATCCGTGGGAAAAATCTTGCAACATATACTCCTAGTGTGGACATGGGGGCCTTTGTAATTGTGGTACGTAGTTTATGTTGAAAGTGTCCGTTTTGCACATTTTTCTTCGTCATAAAATATGGTTGTGATAGCAGACAACCGTATGGTCGCTTAAGCAATAGCGAAAATCTCATGGAATTGCTTGTAATTCTTAAAATCTTAATGTACAACATAGTTGAAAGAACCTGAGGGGTTATTTTTCTGCTCGACTATGAAAAGGTCAATGCTGAAAAAGTTGCTGTTTCTGGTAAGAAGAGGACACAAAAACTGTATAGGAGGCATTCAGGGAGACCAGGTGGAATGAAAGTGGAAACCTTTGATCAGCTTCAACAGAGGATTCCTGAAAGAATTGTTGAGCATGCTGTTCGTGGCATGCTTCCAAAAGGAAGGGTGAGTTTTAAGTTTGTATTTCAATTTAAAAAAAAACATTTCTTCTTCATAGAGTTCACTAATTTATTATGTTAATAAATCACCAAAGATATTTTCATCCCTTTATTATGAGCTGCTATGCTTCTTACATAAGTCGCTCTAATTCATGCCGTACAGAGCTGCTCCAAACTTTCCTGTTTATGCAGCTTGGCAGGCACCATTCAAAATAATCTTAACTGGTGCCACACTAAGGGGCTGAGATTGATTATTCCTTTGTTATCTTTTTACATATTGATCATGCTAATGAGTGCCATATTGAGCTAATTTTGCTTGTTATGCAGCTTGGAAGAGCACTATTCAACCACCTTAAGGTATATAAGGGACCAGACCACCCGCATGAGGCACAGCAGCCAATTGAGTTGCCCATAAGGGACAAGAGGATACAGAAGCAAACGTAGGTATAAGCAAATTCCCTCTGGAAGATCAGAAAGCAGCCGTTTCTTTTCCCCCAGGAGTTTATATCTTCTCATGTTTCACTTCAGTTCTCATTTCATTATTTGGCTTTGCTGTTGTGCCTGATAGCCTGTGCACTAATTTTCCCTTTGTTAGAGGCATTTGGCTGCAATCTTGTTTGTGTTCATCTGAGCCCCAGCCTTAAAAGCAAATGGCATATTCATTTTGTAGGTCTTATGTATGCAGTGGATACTTCCCTCAGCAATGTATCTTGAAATACGCCTCTGAATTATTTGGAATTGGCTGATGTTTCAAGAGATGTTTTCTGTTAAACCACAAGTTATTGTATCGTTCCTTACCATCCCTGTGCTTTTGATAGTCGTCAATCAACGTGGCTGCATCACCATCAAAACTTGTAGACTACGGGCATAGCAAATGCACCCTATCCAATCCCTTCAATCTAACAACGTCCGTACAAAGAAACAGCATTTACTCTAACTTCACTGATTAACAAAAGCCATTGATTCATAAAAGCCATGCAATTAAAATGCTCGTACCCAACACAAACTTCTCGCCTATAACAGGCTCTGCAATACATAAATGATCCAAAAGCACTGCAATTACAATGCTTTTATTCTGTCAAAATCAAAATCTTCTGTTCAATTTGCCACTGTATTCCAGTTGTGGCAATGTGATGGTTAACGAATAAGATTATAAAGTATTAGGTTCCAAGTATCAGGGACTCCTGCAAGACACCAATGGCTGCAATCCATACCGGTTCTTCCTCCCAGGCCATAAATGGAAGGATGCCCATCTTTACGCAGCAGTGAAATGTTTGTTATATCGAGCAACTTGACAGGCTTCGTTATTTTGCTCAATACTCTCTTCAGCACTGTCAAAGCAGGTGGTAGGCCCCCGGGATAAACTGAGCCAACCACCGGCTGATTCTGTCCCAAGCATGTCTTTGCTTTTGGTTCGTTCCAATCAGTGCCACTAATTACATTAACATAATCAGATAAACTATCATAATAACATAAGAACATGGTCAAGTATATGGTTATATTGAAGATAAACACAGTACTGCTAAATCTTTATCTATTCGATTACAACATCAAACAACCTCATTTTTTTTAATGCTGTAATCCTGACTCCGCGGACAATCATAAATTGAAGTCAAATTCTGTTTATTAATAAACATGTGCTCAATAAAAATCCAGTTTTTCTCTACTAGGCATTGGTCTATGTTAATATGTCCCATAACCAATGGAAACCTATGAGTTTTTACGATGGGGTGAACAAATCTTGGCCAATTCATTCTTTTATATGCTTGTCGTGGACAAAAATTCGTAAGTTACACATTCAAGAGAAGAATATTAAGGACAGGAATGGGGCCTAATTTGAAGATAACTGAAAATAGTTGGACTAGTTTTAGAACACACCCACTGCCCACAAGATAAATCCAATAAACCACTTACTTGTAATGAGATGGAGAAATCCCCTGAAAGAAGACCTTGGTGTTGGTAGAGTTAACATTAGAATCCACCCACCCAGCCCAAGTATTGAGTGCCCTCTCAAAAGCAGCCATTCGGTCCATGTCTTTGTATGTCTGATTCCCTACTTGAATATAATCCCATCTGAAATAAGAAAAAAACATCAGAGGTAAAGTTACATTATAGTGATCTAGGTATCACAAGTTCAAGTATGTCTGACCCCTTTATTTTATTTAAAAAAATATGATAAAAAGAAGAAGGAAAGAAGAAGGATTAGTTTGAAGTGAACGAACGGTTGTCCAACTCCTCTGCGGTTCCACCAATGCCAAGTGTTGAAGATTAGCATGTCAATCCCTTTCCATAGCTTGCCACCCACTATTGAGTCAAGTTTCAAGACCCTGCCCTTGTCATCCCTCACTACATCCACTAAAAACACATTGCGATTAAGCATCACTTTCACTCCATAATCCTGCAAGATGATAAACCAATAGAAGGATTATTTGATGAGGTAATATGCACAGGGGCCACTAAACTTTCTATCTTTTTATGTGCATCAAAAACATATAATCCTAATAAAATCACATCTTCATAGTTTTGGATAGCTTCTGAAATGACTACTTTAAGTTAACAATGGTAACCTATTTTACAGTAAGATGATTACATTTTAGAGGGTATTGCTCTGCAATTATTTGTATTGAAATCACTGAAGTCAGCTGAAAATAGACTGAGTAAGAGGACCACAATGGTTGGTTAAACCAAGACAAAGAGTTGTGCAATGGTCCCATAATGGATTATCTGATCTGTTTCCGAATCCTTACCAGTGAAATCCACAAGTCTGACTAAGGTTTAACATGGCATTGAACATGCCTAGGTCCATGTAGTATGTCGCCCTAATAAGTTTTGAGCAATTGAGACCTAATTTGGAGAATTAGTGTAACAAGTTTACCGAAAATCTGAACTTAAATTCGAACCAAATTCAATATCTTATATTTCACAGATTCAGATTCAAATTTAAATATACTAATATCCAATTTAATTATGATTCAATCTGAAATATTTTTATATAAATATTAAAAAATTACGTGATTATTTAAAAATTTTAGTTAAAATTTAAATATAATTTATTAAAATTTAATTAATTAAGTTATTCAAATTGGATTAAATTTTAGATCGGATTCTGAATTATTAATGAATTTAAATATAATCACAAAAATAAAATTTGTCAGATTATTGAATTGAATTCGGATCACCTTTCAATCAAATTTGATCCAAGCCCTTGAAAGGCATATTCTTATGTAGAGGCAACTTAGACGTTACCCGGTGGATATAGGGCTATCCACGAATCTTAATGTGAGGATCCGGGCTGGGCCATGGCCCGCTAGGCTAGCTAATGGACACTTCACCCACCTACACAATGAATAGCAGCGGAAGTTGATACGTGTGCATTTTAAATGGTTGAAGCGTACCGTGAACGTGAAGGAGGAGATATCGGCTTGTCTGGTGAGATTGAATTTGGGTCTGGGCACTGCAGTATAAAGCATGCACACCAGTGACTGCCATTGGTTTCTGCTTAGAGAGTCTCCGACGAACATGATGCTTTTTCCTTTGAATTTTTGCAAGAAATCTCCACCATTAAACCTGTAAAACGCTAAAGCTTTCTCAGATTTCTCATATGCTTGTCACAGAAGGACGACCCACCACGTGACTGACAAATTGCCAAAGAGAACACGGCAGTAACCCATCAGATGATGCCTGCGTTTGACCTACTCTTTGAAGGTAAATACCAAACCAGGGCAACTAATTGTTACAATAACACCTTCTAATTTGAGTTTTGATTTGGATAAGACACCATAACATTTTTCCAACACGAAAGAGCAAAGAGCTAGCTAGCATTACCCGTGACCTCTTTTTTTTTTTTTTTTTTTTTTCTTTTTCATGATCAAACCCCGTGACCTCTTTTTCACTTTAATAATTTCCTACCCATATGGTGAAAGACAGCGAATCTATGCCAAAGATCCCACTTTCCAGTAATTGGTAAAATAATTTTAATTGCCAATATTTTTTTTGGAAGTTCATATCAGTATATTTCGATTAATCTTCTTTCTAGTCTGGTTTATCCCGCTGAGACTGAGATATTTACGAAGAATAAATTTTTATAGTCTAACCTCACGAGATTGCTAAGATTCAAAACTCGAATTTATATCTTGTGTCTTGTTGGCACTGGAGCTACTCCTTGTAGTTAAAACACCAATATTTATAAAGACGCGTGTCAAACGGAGTTGATAGAGTGCAAATAAAATGATGGGAGAGAGTCCAGGAGAATTTATAAACAAAAGGAGGCCCTTGAAATACATACAATAGCACGAAACCTGGAAGAGCTACGGTACCGAATGTTACAACTAAATTGGGGTCTATCAGTCTAAACAGGTTCAAGGTATGATCGATTTTATAAATGTTAGAATTGATCCCAAATAATATTATTTTATAATCTCATCAAACTTTGTTATAATTTTGATCTTAGTTGTATTAATTTCAGTACTACAGAGGTAGGAAAAGAAAAATCAAACAAAAACCGCTTCACATGAGAATCATGGGCTTCCCATGAGACTGTCATTGCCATGTTACTATTTTTTTCCCCAGGTGTCCCTATCCATGTAGTAGGTGAATGTTGTAAGTTTGTTAATTGTTTTTTGGTTTAATTGTTAGAGGTATTCGGACTAGTTAAAAAATTATCGAAATTTGAATTCATGTATACACATCCGTCTAATACACAAGACTCTCGAGATTAGTGGTTGGCCTATTAACCACCGTCCTTTGTTATTGAATTTTCAGATTGTGGATTTAAACTTCAAGTACCGTTTATGTAATAATGTCTACCAAAAAAACCAAAATATATGCGAGATTAAAAAAGAATTTACTCGGTACACGAGACGAGACGGGTGAGTTAGATGTATGGAATACAGTATTGGAGATTACATTCTAACAAAGACAATGAAAATGAATGGCCGGAGATAATACCTTGCCAAATTGCAGCCACGGGGCTGCCATCTGTATTTCTGATACAACTGATTTGGGCGGCCATTCTTCTGGCAGCTGAACTCTCGTTCGATGAACGAACACATTGTCTCATTGTAGATAGGGTAGGATGGGTCGAAGACCCACTTCCTTGGAACAAATCACAGTTCTGTGCGTTGGTTATGTGGAGCAGAACCATGAGCAACACACAGAAACTGCAGTAAGCCCCTGCATCATGGGCTGGACAGAGAGCAGAGAAAAAAACAATGGTTTTAGAGAGAGAAAGTACAGG